ATTGACACGGGTGACAGCGCGCCAATCCGCCCAAAATCCCTTTCGGTTGAGTCCCGCCGAAAAGGATCATGTCAAATCGGCGTTGATGACATGCTAGCCGCCGATATCATTTCCCCTTCCAACAGCCCGTGGGGCGCGCCGATCGTTTTGGTGAAAAAACACGACAGCTCACTGCGGTTTTGTGTCGACTTTCGGCGATTGAACAAAATTTCTGTGGCAGATGCGTACCCGCTTCCTCGAATGGATGAGTCGCTCGATGCCTTGGCGGGGGCGCGATTCTTTTCCACCCTGGATTTACTTTCTGGATTCTGGCAGCTTCCTCTGGATGACGAATCCAAACCTAAGACTGCTTTCCTGTACACCGCAAGGCCTCTTCCAATTTAACCGCTTGCCGATGGGCTTACATTCTGCGCCAGCAACTTTTCAGCGGTTAATGGAACTGGTCTTGGCGAGCTTGCAATGGGATTCGTGTTTAATTTACTTGGACGATGTCATCGTCTTTAGCAAATCATTCGATGAACACCTCCAGAGGTTGCGTGCTGTTTTTCTCAAAATGCGGGCTGCCAATTTGAAATTTAAACCGCAGAAGTGCCATTTGCTCTGCGAATCGGTGCGGTATTTGGGTCATATTGTTGGACGCTCGGGGATATCCACTGATCCCGCCAAAACGGAATGCGTCAGCTCCTGGCCGACTCCCACCTCAGTGGGAGAGGTCAGGAGTTTCATTGGGTTCGCGTCGTACTACCGACGGTTTGTGGTTGACTTCGCTACGATCGCGAAACCATTGCATGCCTTGACGTCCAAGGGAGTCAGGTTTCATTGGGGGCCGGAGGAGGAGGCTGCTTTTCACGCCCTCCGGAATGCCCTGGTGGGGGCTCCGCCGTTGAATTACCTCGATTTCTCACAACCCTTCTTGCTCGATACAGACGCAAGTAACACGGGCATTGGGGGCGTGCTGTCCCAGCTCATTGGTGGCGTAGAGCATGTGGTGGCTTACGGTAGTCGGGTACTGTCTCCGGTGGAACAACGGTACTGCGTTACCCGTCGGGAATTATTGGCAATTGTTTATTTCGTTCAGCAGTACCTGCCCGTATCTGTACGGTCGACGTTTCACCGTCCATACAGATCATGCGGCTCTGCAGTACGCCCTGCGGGTTCAACAACCATCGGGGCAGTTGTCTCGATGGTTGGAGATTCTCCAAGACTACGACTTTGTCACCACATATCGTAAGGGCGTCCGCCACACGAACGCTGACGCCCTGTCGCGGTTGCCACTCCACTTCGGAGTGCGCTTGCCTCTTGGATTCGGGGCGTTGTAGGCCCCCGAACGTGACCACCGATTCGGTCCTCGTGGCTGCCGCCGATGCGCCTTCAGCTTCGGGTCCTATCGAGCAAGAAGGGAAGGGATTCGTTGCTGGGGGTTGTCGGTTGCGGAGTGGGTACGCCTCCAAATGGAGGACACCTCCCTCCTCGCTCTGCGTCGTCGCACCGGGGGGGTTGGTCAGGGGGTGGCGAACGTTGACTCGTGGGGGTTGTTCCAGGGGCTTTTAATGCACTGGGACGGGAAATCCCGCCGCCAACGGCTCGTGGTGCCTGCAGCATTGAGGGGTAAGGTGGTATGGGCTGCGCATGAACGTGGCTCCTGCACTTGGGGGACTCACAAGACCCTTGCCATGCTCCAGCTCGATTTCTTCTGGCCGGGCATGGCAAAGGATGTGGGGGATCCCCTGGGTCGTGCACGCAATGCGCGCAGCGGAAAGCCACCGGCGAGGAGGGTCCAACCCTCCGCTGCAGTCCATAAAGGTTTCCCGGATTAACGAGCTCGTTGCTCTGGATATTCTCGGGCCATTTCCGCTACACCCTGGGGAAATAGGTATTTATTGACAGTGGTCGAATACTTCACGAGATGGCCCATGGCCTGGCCCCTGGCCAACCAGTCGGCAGCAGCCATCTACGGAGGCCTTTGTCCAGGGCTATGTCCTCGACAAGGGTGCTCCGGAACGGCTGCTGGACTGACCAGGGTAAGAATTTTCGGGGAAACTCCTCCGCGAGGTGTGCGACCTCTTGGGTACGGAGAAAATTCGGACCTCCCCATATCACCCACAAACTGACGGGATGGTGGAACGGCTGCATCGGACTATCACGTCCATGCTGTCCCGCAGGTATCGGAATCCCAGACAGATTGGGACCTTCGCATTGCCGGTGTGTTACAAGCCTACAGGATAGCTCCCCATGCGGCCACCGGATTTTCCCCTTTCTTTTAATGTTATGGCCGCGAGGCTAACCCGCCTGTGAGCGACCCACCTGAAGCTCTCGGCGCCTCAGGCGAAGTCTACATTGTCCGAAACACGTTAAATTTAACATCGGCAAATTATCTGAGGCGCGGGACGGCAGCCGTGCAAATTCTAAACTCGCCAGAAGGCGAACGAGAGGCTTAGTGCTGGGGCGGGTACATGTGTTCAAATGGAAACCGGGGACAGGGCATGGTTGCACTGTCCCCAGGTGCCACTGGCGACCTCGTAAAGTTGGTATGGCCGTGGCGGGGGCCCGTGGAGGTCGTACAGGTTCTTGCGGCCGCAATGTGTACGCGTCAAAGTGGGGAGGCGTCGGTGGTACGTGCACCCCTCCAGGTTGAAACCGTTCATTGCGCCGCCCCGTGGTTCGCACACACACACGCATGGCCAAACGTGTGAGGGTCCGCCGACTCCCCGACGTCGCTGCTTTCGCCTAACCTGACATCACTGTTCCATCTCCAGGTGCAACAGGAGTGACGGGTCCACGACCGCCAACCCCTCCCGGGGGGTCGGGGGTCACCGGCAGCGAGCCAGACACTTCGCACCCGGACTGTCAACCCGCCACTGGGCGAGCTGGGGCGGCCCTTGTGACGGGCCCGCCGCGAGAACGCGCGCCAAAACGCGCAGACTTTTGTGAGGTCGGCCGTTGGGGGGCCCTTGCGGATGAAGGGGGGGCATCCGGAGTGCGTGTATATATGTTGGTTTTGCGGAATGGGGTATTTATTCAGGGGGGGGGTGCGGGGTTTTTTTTTTTGTTTCCTGTTGTTATTGTTCTTGTTCTTGTTAAAATTACGCGAGGCACACACGGTTTTTGGGGAGGGATGCACCTTTATTCTGATTTTGTTGCAGCCTGGGGACGGCTGCGAGCTGTACAGGGGGGGGTGATGTAGAGGTGTAATTGTGCATGGGCATGGATGGCTAACAAACACAAGGGGCGTGGTTAGAGCCGTACACAGAGGAGGTGCTCACCACCGACGTCCGCACCTGCATCCCCACGGGCCCCTCCTGGGGGGCCGAGTACTATAAAAGGTGGTGAGCCGGAGGGCTCGAGGTCGAGTATTAGCTTAAACCAGCGAAGACTGAAGACCCAGCTAGGACAGGCCCCGGAACTCCCCTGGCTCGCTGTCTTTGTCAGGGCCGACCAGGGCAAGCCGGTGGCGTGGCCCCGAGAGCCCAGACTGACGTTCTTATAAGAGCCGGTCTGGAGACTCAGGGTGCCGGGATCCCAGCTTGACCAGGGCTGGGATAGGTAGCCTCCCCCTAGCTCCATAGTGGAGGACTCGGGCGTAGGTTAGCGGGTTAGATGTTGTGTCTCCCTGGTAGACGAGTGAAAGGGACGAATACCCCTTAAGTACTGTGTTGTACCCGTTACTGTGCACAAGTTGGTGAAATTAGCATGTTTATCAGTTACTTCAGAGCCACCAGAGAAACACACCGAAAAAATTGCCCTTCAAGTTGTAGTGTGGCAAAGCATTTTCAGTTTCATCTTAGACGTGGTTTAGTTGTAATTTATTGAAGGTGGAGGAGTTACCAGCCCCTCACACCCATTCCAGAGCACCCATTTAGCTGATGTGGTAAGCTACGATGCCACGAGGGGAAAGGCTAATCGGAATTGGCCCTCCCCCCACAGCACTGTCCCACAGTTACAAGAACAACAACCGCCATTCGACCACAAGTGGCGGTGACGTCACCATGGCGTTTGTGCCAGGCCATGTGCACGGGATAGACCCAGGTGCCATGGGTCGACTGACTCCGTTGACTGGACAATGCTCACCTGTACCCCGACTGTGCCAACCCACAGTTGTACACGCACACACATTTGTACCACACACAGTTTGTTACACACACAGTTTGTACACACACAGTTTGTACACACACAGTTTGTACACACACCAGTTTGTTACACACAGTGTACACACAGTGCACACACAGTGTGTACACATACACATTGGTTTACCACAGTGTACACACACACAGTGTACACCACACACACAGTTTGTACACACAGTGTACCACAAACACATAGTTTGTACACACAGTGTACACACACAGTGTACACACCACACAGTTTTGTAACACAGTGTACACACAACACAGTTTGTACACACACCGTGTACACACACACAGTGTACACACACACACAGTTTGTACACACACAATTTGTACACACAGTGTACACACATAGTGTACACACACAATATGTTCACGTTGTTGTTGAACTCACACACCAAGGGGTCTCTGTTCAACAGAGGTAAGCAATAGAAATGTAATCTAAATTAACTTAACTCTAACCCTGATCTCGCTCTCTGACGTCACCCACTCATTAAACCTGTCGGCGTGAGACGCCAGGGAGAGCTGTACCCCGCTAGTGACGTCATGTTCACCAAGGTATCAACCCCCCAACCCCCCCCTCGACCGCGCTTTTGAGCGTGACGTCACGTCTAGTTGGTCACTGTCGATTTCCGTTTCCAGTAAAAATCCTCTTTTGGGAAAAGCTACACCCAGTCACTGGCGAGTTATTAACATAATTTATTCATGAAAACCGTCGCTCGTTCATTGCAACAGGTTTACCAGCCAATCCCAAACTCCCCACACGGACCCGACTTATTAACATAATTTATTCAATAACAGCTGCTCGTTGGGGGAGGGGATTGTGTCATGAACCCCGCTAGTGACGTCATGTCACCTCCTGCTGCCGCGTGACGTCACGACATATCCGAAAGCAGCTGCACCGCGCGCGCGCTCACTCAGATCCGAGGTGAGGAAGTTCACATCGTGGTGGTTGTTGTCCTGTGGTGGTTGTTGTGGTGGTTGTTGTTGTGGTGGTTGTTGTTGTGGTTGTTGTTGTGGTGGTTGTTGTTGTGGTGTGCTTGTTTGTTGTTTACCCAGGTAGAGCCTCGCTCCGTCTCTCTCTTGTCGGGATATCTATTGAGTAGCAGCGGAGTATGGAATCGATGTCCAGGTTGGAACATTACAACGCGGGGGCCTAGCCATGCGGGGCCTTGCCTCCTGCCCTCGCCTGATTGCATTTGCTTTAATTCTCTGCTTAAGTTTAATTTGTCTTCATCTGGCTCACTACTTTGAAACTTTGTTTCTTTTTAAATATTTCTGCAGGTTTTTTATTATCTTACCAGGCCAGGCCCACTTCAGCTGCTATACCGCTCTTGTTTTCAGAAGCGACCTGCCCACAACAAAGTGGCTTATCAACGTGTGGAAATGTCTGTCGGTCAAATACTCTAAACGCGTGGTGATGTTGACTCTAAATGTGGAGGGGAAAACCCTGAGGATCCGGAGGAAAAATCCACGCGACCACGGGGAGAGAGAGACACACAAACTCCAATATACAAGGAGGGGTCGGGATCGAACCCACCACCTCCTGTAATCCATGAGAGGCAGTAACATCTCCCAGCCACCATGGTGCACACTCGAGTACATGACCACAATGAGTCTCAGCACTCTAATTCAGGAGCGTTCTGCCGAGTTGGTTTTGCTGATGCACCCTTTAGACCGATGAACAACTATTTTTATAATTGTTTTTTTACCCTTTTATCTGGCAACAAAACTGACACCTTCTTTACGAGGAGTCATGTTTGCATAGACCACAATACCTGCAGTCATAATGCAAACAAAAAACATAACGCTGATAATGTATGCACTGTCCTTGAAGTTGATTGGTCCACACCCGAGACAGTTTTCCTTAGAGCCTAGTCTCTTTCTCTGATGGTGCATTGTCTTTGAGTTGTGCGCCTTTTGGCGTCATCTGGTCCAACACCATGTGAGACTAGGTTCTAAGGAAAGCTGTCTCGGGTGTGGACCAATCTACTTTAAGGACAGTGCATACATTATCAGAGTTATGTTTTTTTTTGCATTATGACTGCAGGTATTGTGGTCTATGCAAACATGATTCCTCGTAAAAAACGAGTCAGTTTTGTTGCCAGATAGAAGGGTAAAAAATACAATTATATTTTTTTTATGGCAAATGAGATTCCAATGGTGTAAAACTATTTTTATATTACCAATCAAGGCTCACAGAGCTGTTAGATCTTTTGTCAGAAGCCACCTGGCCATAGATGATAGCTCAACGAAATGGCTTTTCACGTGGAAGATTGTAGCAGCCAAATAATCTAAATGCATGTTACTAAATGTGGAGGGGAAAATCGAAGGACCCAGAGAAAAAATAATCCGAGTGAGCGAGTGTACTCATTTGTGTTAGTGTACTCCGTGAGCGTACTCTGCGTGCGTGAGTTCGATTCCAACCCTGACGCATTTATAATTGCAGTTTACATTTTTATTTTTTTTCTCTCTCTCCCTGTAGTGGCATTGATTTTTCTCCACATTTAGAAACATGCGTTTTGAGAATTTTGCTGCAATACATTTCCATTTTATAACCCACTAAGTTGAGCTATCATTTGTGTCCAGGTCGATTCTGAAAAAGAGCTATGCAGCTCAGATGGCCTCACCTGGTAAAATAAAAAATATTGTACTGTGTTTGAGGGTTTTTCAATTTAATTTCTCATTTAGCAGTTAAAGATTATGTTTCAGGAGGGTCCTGCATTCGACTGTTTGACCACCACCAAATATATTTTGAGTTTAGGTTTGGAAGAAAAACGGAAAACCCAGTGGAACACCAATGCCGACGGTGACGGCCGACGCCAGGATAGCGGCCACGGGCTTGAAGCGAGGGCAACCCGGCTCTTGTCCCAAGAAAGGAATCCGCTCCCCGCTGCCCTCCACGGTGGCTGCACGCTGAGCCCCAACTTTCCCAGGAGGTCGGTACCTGCAATACACTCGTGGCATAACACGCTCGACACGTATAACTCCTGGTTACACACCTGGTGTCCGAGGCGACCCTTAAGGGTGACCCTCCCCATCCCACTTCCACTTGCAGTGTGCAGCGCACGATCCGGGGCCTGTAGGCGGCTCACTTCAACCCCGACCACGCTGCCGTGTGTTGCACTCAAGAGTGACGTTTCCGCTCCCCGTGTCCAGCAGAATCCGGGTACGCCGCCTGTTCACCTGCCCTTCCACGAGCGACGTGGCCCCCATTATACCTGCCACCAGCTCCCGCAGCCAGTCACTCACAGTCGCCGCATTCTGGGGTGTTGTTGTCGGCATCTGCGTGGGGGTCACTCGCTCACCATTATCACGACAGTTTATTTGTGTTGGGACCACGTGGATTGCACTCCTCTGTGGTCCCCTCTTTAGGGAGGCCTTTGGTGTTTAACCCTGATGCTTCACTCACGCGGGCGATCTGGGGACTGTCTATCACGAGATGCCCCCATTGGTTGCATAGATAGCACGCACGGGGAAGGGCGGTGGCTCCATAAGAGGCCCCTTTCCCACTCCCCCTTACCCTCCCAGTGCGCATTTGTTCGAGTTCTGCCTCTTATTGAGATACTCGCCTGGTTAGCCCCCCCGACCATGGAGCGCAGCCCTCCCACCTCGGACTGGACTATCTCCGCTGTGGACTGCAGCTTGGTCACATTCAGGTGTACTTGGGTTACCTCCCCGCATACTTGGGTTACCTCCTCGCGTACTTGGGTCTCATGGCCTGCGTTATCTCCTATGCCGGTCTGTATCCCTGCCACCCATCCTGGGGTTGTCTCACGGGATCCCGGAGGCTCCCTCGTCCCCCCCCTCACCTCCTCCTCTGGAAGAAGACTTGCAATGGTTCTATCCCGTCCCAGCCGTCGGAATTCCGCACGCTCGCGAGCAAATCTCTCACACACACGCGTGCTCGGCAAGGGTGTTAAATGGGGGATATGGGCAGTTCGCATCTGGCTGCCACCCCGTTGTGCTTGTCAGATAATGCTGAACTTTCTCGGTGGCGAGGTCATCTATGAACTCGGCAGTGTATCCCAGGCGTGCGCTCTGTGTTAGCAAGTGTGATTTATTTTCATGCGTGCTCACTGAGATCCGAAGTGAGAAGTTCACATCGTTGTCGTGGTGGTAGTTGTTGTTTACCCAGGTAGAGCCTCGCTCCTTCTCTGTCTTGTAGGGAGGCCGCTTTGGATTGCACCACTTTTCGATTTCACATTAACATGCTAATTTATTACGTTAACATCACTTGCCCCGGCCACTTCTTTATGACCCTTGGGCTACACCCATTTCAAACCTTCTAAAACAGTCTGCCTCAGCAGCAGACCATGCATTTTCTATCAGAGTGTTTTTGTTTGCATTCTGACCACAAGTATTGTGGTTAATGCACACATGATTCCTTGTCAAAGGTTTCAGTTTGGTGTTTTAACATCTTAACACCTGTTTTATTGCCAGAAAAACGGAGAAAACCTATTCTCATATTTAGTACTGGAAAAGGTTCCATGATGAAATATTACAGTATATTATAGGTGAGCCGTGCGTGTGCAGAGAGGACAATAAGGACCTGGAAGTTAATTAATTTTGTGGCAAAAATGCAGGCCTGATAATATGTAAGGATAATGTGGTAAATGAGAAAAAATATAGCAGCAGCGGGGTGTTGGAGTGTGCAGGTGTTACAGGTGTTGAAGGTGAACAGGTAAGCTAAAAATTGCGTGAAAACATAATAACTTACCCTTGAGTACACATGGAAAATATGGGGTGTGTAGGTTTCATAGTGTTGGCGCAATTTGGTTCTCAAAAAAACACAGGAAGTCTGCTTCATTTATATACATTTACTAGCGGTAAGTACCCGGCGTTGCTTGGGCGAAAAAGGAAGATACACACATGGACTTACACACATACATTGACCCACACACATAGAAACACATCAACTTAGACACACACACACAAATATGGTTAAATCCAGGAAAGGATCGTTAGCAGGCCAGCCTAAATGTTTCTAACTGGCGAAGATGTTCCATTAGGGGGGTGCATGTTTCGCAAGCGTAGAGAAGGGAGGGAATTACCGTGGCCGAGAAGACCTGGAGCTTCATGCGGAGCGAAAGACCAGGTAGCTTCCACACAGCATTACGCAACTGATGAAAAGATAATGCCGCTCCACTGATTTGGAGTGAGACCTCTGCTGTTAAACCGGAGCCGGTCATGAGCACACTGGGCAGGTATTGGAATCTCGGCAATCTCTCCACAACTGCCGCATCACCAATTGTGAGTTGTGGGGGTGGATTGTTCGATGGTACAAAATACGCAGGCAGGTGCTTAGTTTTGGTGGGGCTAATGGTAAGGCCCCACCTCTTAGTGGCAAGCTCCAGGTTCAGCCGCAGTGAGCAGCAATCACCAGAGCATCGGCATACATAACATGGTTGAGCAATAGGGAGGCATCCCTTGACCGCACCCGGGCATCGATCAACCTCCCATTGTATCTGTACCATATGGTAATTCCTCGGGAACAGCCATTGAAGTCTTCACCAACTACGTGGTAAAAAGATATGTTAAATAATGTGGAGCCAGAGGACATTCCTGTCACACCCCAAGGTGTAGAGGGAATGGCTCTGACTGACAGCCACGTAGTTTGACGCGGAGGCCGCTCACCAACATGAAGGTCCTTAAGGATCGTGAGCAAAGTTTGAGGGACTCCGAAAGCATGAAGAACAACCCAGAGGCCAGGCCTACTGATGGTATCATAGGCCTTGAGCAGGTCAATAAAGCACATACATTCACTCACATACACACATGGACCTACAGACACGCAAAGAAATGGACTTACACTGACTGACATGGAGCCATGCACACAAAGCGACTAACACAGACGGCCATGGACTGACACACAGACATATCGACTCACACACACAAAGACATGGACTTACACACACACACATATGGACTCACGCATAGACATGCACTTTAGATACACACACATGGAGTTACAAACACATATATCGACGTACACACATACAGTGACTCGCACACATCGACTCACACACAGACATACGTGGACTCACAAACACATTGATGTAAACACACATGTACTTACACACACTTATCGACTAAGACACACACACATGGACTTACACACACTTACAAAGACTGACACACACATTTCCCTACACACCCATAGACATATGGACTGTGACACACAGACATCTACTTTAGATACACACACATGGATTAACACACACACACATCGACTGACACACATAGACACACAAACGCACATTGACTTACACACTCAGATGGAGCCATGCACACACATCGACTCACACACACGCATTGACTTACACACATACACATCGAGTGAAACACACACGTATGGACTTACACACACATGTGGACTAAAACACACACAGCGACAGATACGCACACAAATGGACTGACACACACACACACACACAAACAATTGTACGTACACACACACGGGGCGTTGTCCGTTTCAAAAAGACAGACACACACATGGACTTACACACACACATGGACCCACACACGTAGAAACCCATCGACTTACACGCACACAAACACAAATGGACTCACACACACAGACATCGACTTTAGGCACACGCATGTAGTTTCTGCACACGAACATTATAATAGTAATAGAGTATTAAGCAACTTATTAGTTTAATAATAGTAAAGAATGAAGACGAAGTTGTTATGTGTACACAAACATTATCATTGTAATATTTGTAAATGTATTTGTTTAATAATAGAAAGCAATAAACCTGAGTTCTTAGCAAAAGATTGAATAGTACTTTACATTGGCGTAGTAACGCCTCGTCCCGTGCAGAGCCCGCGGCCTCGCCAGATTGGCAAGCCAGAGGAGGTGAGATATTGCCAGGCTGCGGGCTGGGCCACTACCCTTGCCCCCCCCCCACCATCCCCCCGCCGTCGCCAGAATAATACTATGTAACCGCTTTAATAACATTAAATTAATATCTAAGGACTTTATATCAGTAACTGCACGCATTGGGGGTGGCGGGGGGAAGAGGACATCACACTGTGAAGAGAAATCGACAGCGTGATGTGTATATCTATTCCTTGTTAAACGCGTAAAATAAAATGTCCCCGTGAGCTCGAGTGAACGCGAACCACTTGACAGGGTCAACCCCCCCCCCCTCAACGCAATTAGCGTCACTTGGTACGGTCGATGTGGCGCAATAAGTAAATAATTAATCATAGAAACGGCACAAATGTGTTAATTAAACTACTTTAAAACTTTACGGATTGGAAAACGGAATAGCCTATTCCCACTGCGGGGCTTAGGGCGTGCCGCCTGTCAAATTTTTTTCTACATTCAGCCCACCGTCCGAGAGCCAAATCCCCCGCAAGCGCGAGCACGCGAAGACTTTTATATATAAGACTAGCAGAAGTACCCGGCGTTGCCCGGGTGAAAAATATATTTCTTAATAACCTTACATATATACACAGCTACTAAGGTATTGTCAAAGCCCTCACTCTCACCACTCACCCTTACTACTCACCACTCAACGTCACCACTCACCCTCACCACTCACCCCTCACCATCACCACTCACCCTCACCACTCACCATCACCACTCACCGTCACTACTCACCATCACCACTCACCCTCACCACTCACGCTCACCACTCACCCTCACCACTCACGCTCACCCTCACCACTAACCCTCACCACTCACCCTCACCACTAACCCTGACCCCTCACCACTGACCACTCACCCTCCCCACTCACCCTTCCTACTCACCACTCAACCTCACCACTAACCCTCACCCCTGACCACTCACCCTCCCCACTCACCACTCACCCTTCCTACTCACCACTCAACCTCACCACTGACCACTCACCCTTACCCTCACCACACACCCTCACCACTCACCCTCAACATCAACACTCACCCTCACCACTCACCATCATCACAAATCCTAACCACTCACCCTCACCACACACCCTCACCACTTAACCTCACCACTCAACCTCACCACTCACCCTCACCACTCACCCTAACCCCTCTCCCTCACCACTCTCCCTCACCACTCACCGTCACCACTCACCCTCACCACTCACCCCTCACCACTCACCACTCACCCTAACCCCTCTCCCTCACCACTCACCCCTCACCATCACCACTCACCCTCACCACT